TGTCAGCAGATGGTGCTTAGAGGCCCAGCACGCCTGTTCACGAGAAGAGGGACGCCCTTCCCTCCCTCCCCTCCCGGTCCACCCGCGCAGCTTGTGGCGCTGGGACCCTCGTGCCCCTCCCTGCTCGCCGCCGCCGCCGCCGGCCCTTCCCTCTTTCCTCTCCAGACTCGGGGCCTGTGCTCTGCTCGACCTGTGCGTAGCCTCTCCTTCTGCTGACGTGGCCGCTCACTTGGTTTCCCTTGCAGTGGCCTCTTTCTCCTCCCTGTGCCAGTCCAGTTGCCAAGGAAAGCTGCACAGGAGCATTTCCTGGGCAGGTATTCGTGCGTCTCTTTAAGGAAAGCGATGTCGGCTGCAGAGCGCCCTCTGCCTCCTAGATGCTGCTTTCATCGCCCCTCATCTGGCCACCCTCCATGATCCTGTCCGAGCCTCTCATTGCCCTCGGGGATGGGGGCCCGAGTCACACGAGGACATCTGTGCCCCGCGCCCTTGCTTTGCCAGCAGGAGCCCCTGGAATCTGTGCCCCTTGTGGCTGAGCTCCGGCCCTGAGCGTGCGAGCCCTCCCAGCCCCTTCTCAGGCCTGAGGAGGTGGGCTGACACTAGTCTCCTTGGTGACATCAACCAGGCTGCAGATGCAGTGGGTGGCAGCTGTTTGGGTGGAACCTGGCCTTGGGGATCAGCTGTGCGGCCTCGATCCAGCCTCTGATGGCCTGATTGGCTTTGTGAACCCACAAGAGAGGCTGTGTCTGCCTTTTGTCATGGGCTGCCCACGGGCCCTGCGGACCGGGCCCTGGCCTGTTGCCCCAGGCCCTGGCCTGTTGCCCCAGGCCCTGGCACGACCTGTTGCGACCTGCCCAGGGTCTGTCCCCCCAGATCCCCACAGGTGGTCAGGTGCCAGTTAGGAAGGGCCGGGTGCAGGTGGGTGCTGGCAGGCAGCTGACAGATGCACGTGTGCAGCGCTGTGCGAGGGTGTCCACACGCAGCAGTAACCCTCGAAGGCTTCTACTCACTCATGCCCTTCCCTGATGCTGGCACAGGAAATGCTGCTTTAGGACATCATGCCTCCCCCCAGCATGCCCTCTTCCCTGGGCATGCCCACCCAGGAGTCCTCCCTCCCCCGGCATGCCCCTCCTCAAAGTGTTCTCCCTCCCCTGAGCGCTACCCCCTCCCCTCACCAAGCCCTCTTTCCTGGGTGTGCCCTCTCCTCTGAGCATGCTCCTTCCCTTGAGCATCTCCCCCTCCTGGTTGTGCCCTCCCCTCACCATGCCCCTTTCCCTGGAAGTGCCGCCTCCCTTTCCCGTGCCCCCTCCCCTGGGCGTGCCCCCTCCCCTGGGTGTGCCCTCTCTCCTCGTGTGCCCGGCTGCAATCTAGCTTGGACTTGGAGGAGATCCTCTGCCCTTGGGTGTAGGCTCCAAGTCTGCTTGCACCCAGGGACCTCCCCCACGTCATGCAGCTTCCCTGCTGCTCTCTTTAGTTTCTGAGGGCTGGTCTCGGGTGCTCCCTTTTCTAGGGCTGAAGCCTGACTGGGGTGGGGGCCCCTTCTTGCGGGGGAGTTCGTCTTGCCCTCGCCTGCCTGCCTTACTGGAGGCACAGAGGCAACCTCTGGTGGACGTGGGGGGCAGACCCAGCTGCCTGCCCAGCCCCCATCGCCTGTGCAGGAGACGCCTCTGAGGACCAAGGCCTGGGCCCTTCTGGCATCCTCCCAGCCGCTCAGTGCGTGGCACCAGCATGCAGAGGCCGGGGAGGCTCTGAGGCTGCTGTCCCCGATAGGGAAAGACTGGTACTCTGAGGCCACGTTAGCGCCAGGGCCCAACCCAGCACCCAGCAGCCCCGTCTGTGTCCTCCCAGACTCAGCTGTGGTCATGGAGGAGGGAAGTCCAGGCGAGGCTTATGTGCCAGGGGAGCCCCCTGAGCTGGTAGACTTCGAGGTGGCGCTAAGCACAGACTCGCGCTGTCGGAGCACTGCCGCTTACAGCAGGGTGAGTTCCACTGGCAGCCCTGGGGACGGCCCTTGAGCTGCGGGGAGGGCCCGGCCGGGGTTTGTGGCTGA